CACAAAATAATTAATATTTCCCTAAAAATCAATAAAAAAAAATCTTGCCCTTTTCTAACAAAAATATTAATATTGTATTACAATGCAAACTTCTTGAATAACTACAGAAGATAAATTTAGCTCTCCCATGTTCTTAGTGCACACTATACATTATGGATTTGTGTTGTCCCTAATTCCATTATTATTTACATGGGGTACACAATTGTACATTATTACTAAAACACTCATGTTATTATATAAAATCAGTTACAAAAGCATAGAACATAAGAACATAAGGAGGAACACTGCAGCAGGCCTGTTGCCTCATACTAGGCAGGTCCTTTACAATCTATCCTACTAACAAAATATTTGCCCAACCTAATTTTCAATGCCACCTATGAAATAAGCTCTGATAAGTATCCACTCATATGCAAGTCCCACTCAAATCCAACCCTTCTCACTCATAAGATATCCTTTACATTATTACCATGCTTTTTATTTACTCTGCATGCATGGCTGAGTCATCAGGTGAACCATACTCAAACATTTTTTATCAAAACACCAACCCCTCAAAAATTAAAGCACATTTACCATCACTCATTCCATAAATACGTACATGGACACCAGCCAACCGATATTCCGAAATCTCTTCATAGACATTACTTTGCTCACAAAACACAATTCTCTTAACCATTCATTACAGTGTTGTGCTCCCACCAGCTGGAGTCACTTGCCACAACCATTTGAAAACAAAATGGCAATGAGGATACGAAGGTTGGGCAGGGAAGTACAGTGGACCCTCGGTTAATGATTTTAATTTGTTCCAGAGACCTTGTCCTTAACTGATTTTATCATTATCCAATTTAATTTTCCCCATAAGAAATAATGGAAATCCAATTAATCCGTTCCAGACACCCAAAAGTATTAAAATTTATTTTTTTCACATGAAATATACATTTTCCTACACAGAAAACAATGAGACAAAGAATAAATGACACTTACCTTTATTGAGGATTTATTGATGAGTGATGAAATGGGAGGAGGGGAGATGATGGAGGTGTATTATTGTTTAGAAGGGGAATCCCCTTCCACAAGGACTTTAGGTAGCAAGTCCTTTTCTAGGGTTCCTTCCCTTCTTTGTTTTTTAATGCCACTGGGAACAACTTGACAGTCACTGGACCTCTGTCGCACCAAAAATCTGCCCAAAGAGCTCTGTTTCTGGAGTTCCTTTAAGATTTCCCTAAAATGGGGCATAACATTGTCATTGTATAAGTCACCAGCATGGCTTGCAACAGCTGTGTCAGGGTGATGTTCATCTATAAAGGCTTGCACCTTTGTCCACATTCTACAAATGTTCTTAATCACTGAAGAAGGCAACTTCCTCCATCTCTCTCTCCCCTCCTCTGAAGCAATTTCCTCAGCTGTGGTCTGTTGCTGTTGCAGATGCTCTTGGAGCTCATTAGTGGTTAGCTCTTCATCGTCATCTTCCACCGACTCTTCCACATCCTCCCCACTAACCTCCAATCCCATGACTTCCCCAATGACACAACAGATTCCACAACTGGTACAGGCTCCTCAGGGTTAGCCCCAAACCCTTCAAAATCCCTCTCTTGTACACATTCTGGCCACAATCTGGGCCCATGGTGGCTTATTTAGCAGCTACAAACACTAAAAACAATGGAATAATACAAAACGTATCGCATGTATATGTGGAACCATCCGCCCTGGCTTGTAAACAATGGCACACTGCCTGTACATAGTGGCTGGGCGGCTGAGGGCGACCCAGGCTGTGCGGACATGTTCAGGACGAATGTCCTTAACTGAGTTTTTCATCGTTAGCCGAGCCAATATTTTTATGCAAAAACGCATCGGTATCTGATTTTATCGCTATCCGGTGGCACTGTTACCCGAGGGTCCACTGTAACTCCTTGCCAGTTCAACAGGGCAATGAAGACAGGGACAATTTATACCTAGGCATGCTTTCACCGTGCTCTTTTTTTCAATTACTCAGCCATTTACCTTTACCTGAAGAAGAGTGACACAAAGAAGAAGGTAGTCTACATTCATGTCCTTCTTTGTCTTTTTTTGATTATATATAGGGCAAGAGGTAATTAGTGATTTTGCTTTTGATATTTTTAGTTGCCTTCTACGACATGCATGATTACAGAAAGGATTTTTACCCACATCTCCATTGGGATGTACTCTATCTGTATACCTAAGTTATCCAACCTTTTGCTTGGTACTACTCCCTATTGCAACCATACCATCAATATGATTTGACCACATTTACTAACCTTGCATATTTCACAGGTTAGTATGACCAAGCTACATAACTTGTATTTAAAATGGCTTTTATAGGATACATGAATTACTCACTATCCCTCTGTCTACTGCCATATTTACTACAATACTAAGCAAATTGTATCTAGCTTGTATGTCAATACTATATCTGGCAAGAGAGCGATTTAGTGAATGATGATGAAAATTTATCTTTTTTTGGGCCACCCTGCCTTTGAGGAAGACGGCCGATGTGTTAATACTAATAATAAAAATCTGTGAATGGATTAAAAAAAAAAAAAATGACTTTTACATTCATAAAGAGCCAAGGAAATGCCAACACAGTTATTTTGCATCTTGTTTTCTCCAATTCTATTTTCTTTCGAAAATGTTCTTCTAACTTGATCTTACCATCACCATCTTTAATAAGTATTGTTAGGTAAAGAGACAAAAGTGCAACCAATGTGACATTCTATTGTGGCAACGTTTTGCTCTCCAGGAGCTTTATCAAGTTTTATAAAGCTCCAGGAGAGTGAAACATTGCCACAATAAAATGTCTCATTAGTTGCACTTGTGTCCTTTTACCTAACATATTATTGGTAATTCTACCAACATTAATTAATAAGTATTACTTACAAATAAAATACAGAACCTTAAAATATCCACATTTCACCTAATCCTCAATATTCACATCAATATCACAGCAAGTGTCAAACTATTTCATATTAAAATTTTCTTATTTTTAATTCTGAACATTGTACTATCTGCAGTTCACCAGAATGACAAAATAAATTGGTTCTTTCCTGAATAAACTAACAAAAATGACTTCTGGATAGATAAAATATTATCAGACTGATCTGATAGATTCCTAATGCATATAACTAAAATATATTAAACTTTTGTGAACAAGTCATTAATAATCACTATCTGACTCCAATTTTATAGCTTCATAATGTGTACAATGAAGTAATTAATATCAAACATGAGCAATTTTAGCAGCACTATCTTAGTGCAGTCCTATACAGTACCAGACTACGAAAACATCATAAACATTAAAAAGCAAAAATATACAGACTATCATACAGCATGCATTTTTTCTTAGTAAGTAAGAGACAAGAATTTTTTTCTAGAGTAACTTGCAGTTACACAAATAAATTATAATTATTAACATGGGGAAGACCTGAACTTGTAGTTCAAGTCTTTGTATCAAGTGCATCTCACTGGCATCAAAGCACCTCCCATTAGGAGTGCATAAATATATCAAATGATGCATCCCACCAGACAGTAAGCCACTATGTGAAACAGTGTATCACAAATGATAAGGAATGGCTCTGGTAAAACATAATGTTTCTAATAAAACACTTCTCATTCTCAGTACTGGGGATTAAAATATGCAGGAGCTGTGAGCCTCCTAGTTTGGTGATGTAGTCTTAACTAAAGAAGTAAAGGATTAATAAAGAATAAAAGTCACAATACTGAAGTTTGAAACAATTCAAAACTAACCCACAAACTGGAGATGAAGCTAGATGTTTTAGGCTGTCATGAGCCCTTAGCAAGTCACAAGTGGCTTGGTAATAGTCCTGCATGGACTAAAACATTGTCTAGTTTCATCTTAAATTAGTTGATTAGCTGTGAATGAATTAATGTTAACTATGTAGCAAAATTAACTCATGACATTTTAGTACAGATATTCAATGCAGAATTTGTATTTCAACACTAATTACCTGTTGTTCAATTACCATTTAGTTTCATATCCCAGTTTGTATAAATTACTGAAATTAACCAAGGCTAATTTTTTTTTTTTTTTTTTTTTTTTTTCATTAAGCAAGTCGGCTCGGGGTTACCAAAAAATAAAAAATAACCATTTTCATTCTTATTACTTTTTAGTATCTTTACAGGCAAAAGTTGGTATAGCCATTGTTCCCGGCATTTTAAAGGACTTATTACAATACGCAGGTCATTACGAAGAAAGATTCTTATTCCACTTCCCTGGATAAAAGGAAAGTAATAAGATAATTTATTAATAACCCTAAAGAAAACTCAGTTGGTATGTCTAAAATGGCTAAAATGTTGTGTTTGACCTAAGTGTAGTATAAGTAGCGAATGCGTTAATCTTGCATATTTATGAGCAAAATAACATGACATTTCAATCACATAATTAAAACAATCACAGGCTTTCTTTTACACTCATTCACGATGTTATTCCTTATGGTTCTTCCCATTACCTAATACCTAAATACAAAGGCTAAATACTGTACAATATGCCAATAGTGGAAAAGGGTGAACATGAAGAATCCTAGCAATATGGTCAAATAGTACTGCTGTTTGTTATCAATTATGATACACTTTTCAAGCTTTAACAATTGTGCTTTTTTGAGTCAGTCATTACTATTATCATGAACAATATCTTTGATATGCCTTCGATGAGTTTCAAGAGTCTTTCTACTCCTGAAGCCTGGCCATGGGCTGGCTTGGAAAATCACAAGTGTTTGGCTCAATGCTGCTGCAAATTTAGATACATGTTTGTCCTCAAAATGCATGTTGTGATATAAATATAATGATATGATGAACTGAGTTGAAAAGCAAAAATTATTTTAACTATAATTTGACTTTAATATATCAAAATATTAACTTGGCTCATGAAATATACACAACTTATACAGGTATATACTGTAAGATAATTCACAATTAATCTACAATTCGAGGAAGAATATTTAGACAATATTTCAGTCTATCCTGAACCATTAATGTCTGAAGGTTCCTCTCTAAATTGTTGGTTGGTTAAGAATTCTTCCCATCACAGTAGTGTGACTTTTTTTTTTTTTTACATACCCCATCACTTACACAGTTTATAAAGCAGTATACCATTCTTATGTTTAAGCAATGTAAATTAGTACTGAGAAACACAATTCATCAAGAAAGATTTGTAATTCAGATACTTTTATGAAAGACAGTAAATTATCACCATTTCTGTTAATACGTACATCTTTTAAATTAATACAAAAGTATAAAGCAGGCCACTTAAATTATAATGTTTTGGTTAAGTGTGTTGACCACTGATACAGTATGTATTTTGAATTGTAATACCCAATCATCTCTAGAAACATGACATGAACAAGTTTTCAAATGACCAAGGAAAAAATTTATGTTCATAAGAAGACTTTGATACAATCATATATGAGAAAACTAAAATTATAATTACAAATTAAAAAAAATAGCAACTTTCCTCAGTGAACATTATTGTGCACTGAAAATTATAAATACTATGAGTAACAGAAGCAATCTACTTTAATTATCATCCCATAAAAATCAGGATACAGCAGCACACTACCACCAGTAATCAAGAAGAGAGACACCTGCAGTACAAACATTTTACTGTCACAAATGTTTAGCTCTTTGTAAAGTCACTGACTTAATAAAGCTCTACATGGACCAAAATTTTATCATGAAAACTTACTCTGCATCAGTCTTTTCTTCATAATAAAAATAATTAAATGAAGGCAAAGATTATAAATTAGTTCAAACCTGTTATCACTTATAACATTTATTTTGTTTAGGCAAAGCAATATAAGTTAAATTTTACTTAAGAGCCAATCTATCAGAACAAAACTAGAAACATTTTATCAGAAACACCTATGTAAGTACTGCAGGTTATGTTTTCCAGTGCTATCATACCTGTTGTGGGTGTGCATGTATAATGTACACCATGTAATTATTTAATTAGGTGGTGCAAAATCCCATACTAAATCCTCATCATTTTAAATAACTTCTTTAAAATGTTTATTTATTTTCTTGAAACCTTAAAGTCTTTCATTTTATAATGGTTTATTAACACTAAACTGTATTATAATAAGCACATGTTCTATTAAATATCTTACAAAAACTTCATTGACAATCAAGATAGTAAAAAAGATTTCCAAACGCTGTATTTCACACATCACTTCTAATTCTCAAAACTTAACAGATGCAGTGACATGATACTTTAGTTAGTAAACCAGGTAATGTCTTTTCTGGCTGTGTCGTAAACTTTATAAAATTCAGATGGATTAAGGCAGAAGGCATTTTTAACCCATGATCCTTCTGTCTAATCAACTGGGGAAATCTAAGGGAAATTTTAAATTAATAATAACAATGACAAAACATTATATTACACATCAATGACCATATAAAAGTCCTAGTATCAAAATTAATTTCTTGATTCTCTAAAGTATCAAATTCCAAATTTTCAGTTTATGACTATTTTTTTTTTATTTACCAAAGTAATGCAGAGAGAGTGAGATATATATAGAAAAAAGTGCAAACACTACATAATGCTCTCTCATGACTGCTAGACTCCCCTAAAGAGAGCGTATCTTTCATGGAAAAGAATAATGGCTTCTCAATTCAATATTATTAAAAAAGAAATTCTTATTTTTCAATAATAGAAAAAATATATTGAATGCCACCAATCATACATAAACCCTGAGTGTCTGTATGATAGGCCTACGACAGACTGGGCAAGTGTTGTCTCGGGTGATGATAGCTGAGCGACAGGCATCACACAGACACAAGTGACGACAAGGCAGTAATATGACACACTTAACTTGATCTTGGCACACAACACATAAACGATCTTCGCGTTCTTGTTCTAATTCCCGATAAAGCTGATAAGCTTGTCCATCTACCCTGCTAGTGGATTCCTCTCGATTTTTACTTTTGGTAAAACTATTTTCAGGTGCAAATGAAGTGTTTTCTTGAGATTGTTCATGCATACGTTGCCGAGTGAGTGGCCGTCTTGTAAGGCCAGCTGGCAAAAGTGGCACTGGTGCTGGATTTTGGGGCTCTGCTGCATCATTTAATAAAGGGTAGTTATCAGGTTCGTGTACCTGATTGGGAACTGGATTAGCCACATTTATTTGATAAGCAAAGAACTGGTTCTGAGGTAGATTCAGATCAGGTACATTATCATTGTTGTCATTACCATTCTCATCATTTGTATCATCCAGCTCTTCCTCGTCTGTATCTATCTCTATTGGTGGCCTCTCATGAGCTCGGCGCACTACTGACACATACCAGCGAATAAATCTCTGTCTCGCTACTACAAACATAGTAGGTAATGGAATGTCTGGGACTAAAATCATGTTTTCCATCATGTAAAAGAGAGCATATTTTAAGACAATAATTACAGCCAAACCCATCACCACACCTATAACTGCCTCAAGTGGTATATCATGAATGAAAGTGATTATACCAGAATTACACACACGTGCAACATACTGTAGCGACAACCAGGTACTGTTCACTGCCTGGCTGCAGTTAAGATAAGCATATGAAAAAAGATAAATCAAGCCTGTGAATACAAGATATATCACATTGGGAATAAAGCCTATTAGGAACACTACTGAAGAGCCAAACAAGATGAAAGCATGTTTCAGCACTATAAGGACCTTACCGAGATGTATAAGTGCAGATACCACACCAGAAGTAATGATACAATATGAAGCTTGGACAAGCTGACATGAGTATACAGCTGCATCTGCCATGCCAAAGAAAATACCGCTCACAAAGTTAAAAAGAGTTACTACTACAGCACGTACTGCAGTTTCCACAGAAAGTACAGCATTTCCTATATCTCCAAAGAAGAGCAGGAGGTCAGTTGCTAGTACAGAAAACAAATCAGCAGCCTGGAAAAGAAAAACAAAAATAAATTTTATAAATTATATACATACATCTATAAATAGAAAACAAGTTAAGTTCATGAACACTGTCATCTAATCTAAAACAGTGTTAATGATATGAAGAAATAGGAAAAATAAGGTGCATTCCAGACACTCCAAAATATACCAAACAAATCTGAAAAAACACGATGTTAAATATATTGTAATACAGTTTATCTTAATTAACAATCTGCTGTCAATCATAACTTAAAATATATGAAGGGTGTGGAGGTTACTGTGGACCTACTGAGCTGACCTGTTTGTAGTGAGGTTTATCATCTTACATATATGTAGGAGGAAGCTTCAGTTACCTTCTATGTTTAACAGCTTAAGCTGCATCACCCCCACAACTACCACCACCACCACACAATCACCATTACCACCATCAGCATGTAAACATCAGTAAAAATAAAAGCTACTTTTCCTTACTAAATTGCACCAAACATATTGGAACTCACCACACCTATACCAAACATGCATATGTTACAGTACTTAATATGAATGTATTTGAGAAATAAAGTAACACTGTAATAAATGGCATGGAGAGGCTACTACAACTTCCTTGTTTAAACACTTATTTACTCTTTATTATCAACCACCAACATGTTCAACACTTACAGAAATACAGCTGGGTTACTAACCTACAGGATTAATAATCTGCAAAAATTCTTCTTAGCACATTTTATACCAGATTTAAATAAAGATACTCTGCATTAAAGATGAGACCAAACAAAAGGCAAACCAAGCAGGCAGAATAATTGTCAGGCACTGAAGCCTAAAATGAATTTAACAGGCTCTATGATGAAAGGGAAAATGAGATAATCAAAAGCAGATGAATATTCATCAACTTGTTGGCACTGTGTATCAGTAATGTAAAGATAATCAAAACTGTAGGACTGTTAGCACAACCTGACATTTCTCAGTGGCACTGAGCACCCTTCTATGACATGAGTGTACATGACCCTAGTGTGGCAAATACAGGTTTGTATACAAGTGTAAGGTTGTATACCAAGTTTAGTAGTGCACCTTGTGTGTGAGGAGCAAAAGGAGCTGCACAATACGAGTGGATGCCTTAAGAACTGTTGTCATGACTTGGTTGTTCAGACGAATTGCAACTCCGACTCCACTCCACACCATGCCAAACACTCTCCCCATTTCTTCAGCCACTACTGTCAGTACCTCAGCCATCCTGGAAAAAAATATAAATAACTATAATGAGAACTACTGAAACAAAAGCCCTTGCTCAACAGTAAACAAAAGTATTACATGTATGTATAAGAAATAAGGTATCCAGAATGACATTCCCTTTTTTACTCTATTTTTAAACTCAAGTGCATTACAGGAACTAGGTGCCACTAAACTAGCAAAATACAGTACAGTGGACCCCCGCATAACGATCACCTCCGAATGCGACCAATTATGTAAGTGTATTTATGTAAGTGCGTTTGTACGTGTATGTTTGGGGGTCTGAAATGGACTAATCTACTTCACAATATTCCTTATGGGAACAAATTCGGTCAGTACTGGCACCTGAACATACTTCTGGAGTGAAAAAATATCGTTAACCGGGGGTCCACTGTACTCAGGAACTGGGATACACTTGGGAGGCTATTACAACCATGTGACACCTGGGAGGCTGCTATTACAACTATGTGACACACCTGGGAGGCTATTAAAACCATGTGACACACCTGGGTGGCTGCTATTACAACTATGTGACATGCCTGAGTGGCTGCTATTACAACCACATGACACACCTGGGAGGCTGTTATTACAACCACATGACACACCTGGGAGGCTGTTATTACAACCATGTGACATACCTGGGAGGCTGCTATTACAACCACATGACACACCTGGGAGGCTGTTATTACAACCATGTGACACACCTGGGAGGCTGCTATTACAACCACACGACACACCTGGGAGGCTGCTATTACAACCATGTGACAACTGGAAGGCTGCTGTTACAACCATGTGACACACCTAAGAGGCTGCTATTACAACCATTTGACACCTGGGAGGCTGCTATTACAACCATTTGACACCTGGGTGGCTGCTATTACAACCATGTGACACACCTGGGAGGGTGCTATTCCAACTGTTTACCTGGAGTTTACCTGGAGAGAGTTCTGGAGGTCAACGCCCCCGCAGCCCGGTCTGTGACCAGGCCTCCTGGTGGATCAGAGCCTGATCAACCAGGCTGTTACTGTTGGCTGCATGCAAATCAACGTACGAGCCACAGCCCGGCTGGTCAGGAACTGACTTTAGGTGCTTGTCCAGTGCCAGCTTGAAGACTGCCAGGGGTCTGTTGGTAAGACCCCTTATGTATGCTGGGAGGCAGTTGAACAGTCTCGGGCCCCTGACACTTATTGTATGGTCTCTTAACGTGCTAGTGACACCCCTGCTTTACATTGGGGGGATGTTGCATCATCTGAGAAGTCTTTTGCTTTCGTAGTGAGCGATTTTCGTGTGCAAGTTTGGTACTAGTCCCTCTAGGATTTTCCAGGTGTATATAATCATGTATCTCTCCCGCCTGCGTTCCAGGGAATACTGGTTCAGGAACCTCAAGCGCTCCCAGTAATTGAGGTGTTTTATCTCCGTTATGCGCACCGTGAAGGTTCTCTGTACATTTTCTAGGTCAGCAATTTCACCTGCCTTGAAAGGTGCTGTTAGTGTGCAGCAATATTCCAGCCTAGATAAAACAAGTGACCTGAAGAGTGCCATCATGGGCTTGGCATCCCTAGTTTTGAAGGTTCTCATTATCCATCCTGTCATTTTTCTAGCAGATGCGATTGATACAATGTTATGGTCCTTGAAGGTGAGATCCTCCGACATGATCACTCCCAGGTCTTTGACGTTGGTGTTTCGCTCTATTTTGTGGCCAGAATTTGTTTTGTACTCTGATGACGAATTAATTTCCTCGTGTTTGCCATATCTGAGTAATTGAAATTTCTCATCGTTAAACTTCATATTGTTTTCTGCAGCCCACTGAAAGATTTGGTTGATGTCCGCCTGGAGCCTTGCAGTGTCTGCAATGGAAGACACTGTCATGCAGATTCGGGTGTCATCTGCAAAGGAAGACACGGTGCTGTGGCTGACATCCTTGTCTGTCAGATATGAGGATGAGGAACAAGATGGGAGCAAGTACTGTGCCTTGTGGAACAGAGCTTTTCACCGTAGCTGCCTCGGACTTAACTCTGTTGACTACTACTCTCTGTGTTCTGCTAGTGAGGAAATTACAGATCCATCGACCGACTTTTCCGCATTTGTGCGCTATTACGCCATGGTCACACCTATCGAAGGCTTTTGCAAAGTCTGTATATATTACATCTGCATTCTTTTTGTCTTCTAGTGCACACCTGTGACACACCTGGGAGGGTGCTATTGCAGCTATGTGACACACCTGGGAGGGTGCTATTACAACCATGTGACATACCTGGGAGGCTGCTATTACAACCATGTACACACCTGGGAGGCTATTACAACCATGTCACAACTGGGAGGCTGCTATAACAACCATGCAACACACCTGAGAGGCTGCTATTACAACCATGTGACACATGGGTGGTTGCTATTATAACCATGTGACACTTGGGAGGCTATTACAACCATGTGACACACCTGGGTGGCTGTTATTACAACCATGTGACACACCTGGAAGACTGCTGTTACAACTATGTGACAAACCTGGGAGGGTGCTATTACAACCATGTGACACACCTGGGAGGCTATTACAACCACGTGACACACCTGGGTGGCTGCTATAACAACCATGTGACACACCTGGGAGGCTGCTATTACAACCATGCAACACACCTGGGAGGCTGCTATTAGAACCATGTGGCAACTGGGAGGCTACTACAATAACCATGCAACACACCTGAGTGGCTGCTATTACAACCATGTGACACACCTGGGTGGCTATTACAACCAAGTGATGCACCTGGGTGGCTATTACAACCTTTTGACACCTGGGAGGCTATTACAACCATGTGACACACCTTGGAGGCTATTACAACCATGTGGCACCTGGGAGGCTGCTATTACAATCATGTGACACACCTGGGAGGCTGCTGTTACAACTATGTGACACACCTGGGAGGCTGCTATTACAACCATGTGACACCTGGGAGGCTGCTATTACAACCATGTGACACACCTGGGAAGCTATTACAACCATGTGACACACCTGGGTGGCTGCTATAACCATGTGACACACCTGGGAGGCTGCTATTACAACCATGTGACACCTGGGACGCTGCTATTACAACCATGTGACAAACCTGGGTGGTTATTACAACCATGTGACACACCTGGGAGGCTATTACAACCATATGATACACCTGGGAGGCTGCTATTACAACCATGTGACACACCTGGGAGGCTATTACAACCATGTGACACACCTGGGAGGCTATTACAACCATGTGACACACCTGGGAGGCTGCTATTACAACCATGTGACACACCTGGGAGGCTGCTATTACAACCATGTGACACCTGGGAGGCTATTACAACCATGTGACACACCTGGGAGGCTGGTATTACAACCATGTGACACACCTGGGTGGGTGCTATTACAACCATGTGACACACCAGGGTGGCTGCTATTACAACCATGTGACACACCTGGGTGGGTGCTATTACAACCATGTGACACACCAGGGTGGCTGCTATTACAACAATGTGACACACCTGGGAGGCTATTACAACCATGTGACACACCTGGGAGGCTATTACAACCATGTGACACACCTGGGAGGCTATTACAACCATGTGACACATCTGGGAGGCTATTACAACCATGTGACACCCGGGAGGCTATTACAACCATGTGACACACCTGGGAGGCTGCTATTACAACCATGTGACACCTGGGAGGCTATTACAACTATGTGACACACCTGGGTGGCTGCTATTACAACCATGTGACACACCTGGGAGGCTGCTATTACAACCATGACACACCTGGGAGGCTATTACAACCATGTGACACACCTGGGAGGCTATTACAACCATGTGACACACCTGGGAGGCTATTACAACCATGTGACACACCTGGGAGGCTATTACAACCATATGACACACCTGGGAGGCTATTACAACCATATGACACACCTGGGAGGCTATTACAACCATGTGACACACCTGGGAGGCTGCTATTACAACCATGTGACAAACCTGGGAGGCTGCTATTACAACCATGACACACCTGGGAGGCTGCTATTACAACCATGACACACCTGGGAGGCTATTACAACCATGTGACACACCTGGGAGGCTGCTATTACAACCATGTGACAAACCTGGGAGGCTGCTATTACAACCATGACACACCTGGGAGGCTGCTATTACAACCATGACACACCTGAGAGGCTATTACAACCATGTGACACATCTGGTACAAACCAACAATCCCAGCAGCCTGGCCGCCCCCACTACTCTTCACTCTCTTATTCGCCACTAACACACTTGCAGGTGTTCACGGCCATACTCGAACCAGAAGATTGTTCTTGAATAACAGTACTGGTGTCTTGAGACGCTAAATAAGACAGTTGGTCACATTAAAAGAGAGATATAAGCACCTGACACAACTGTTGTTCCCCCTCTCACAGCCGCCACAACTACCTTAGTTCCTTCCACTCCTAAGTACATGCTCTCCTCAGTGTTAACTATAATTGTAATCATACAAGTATAACCTAAGTTGAGGTATTATATAATATTGTATAATTTAAGCTAGTGAGACAGTGTCGAAGTTAGTTTTAATATATTATTAGCGTACCCAGCCTTCTAAGGAACTAGTGACAACCACAACATTTAAAACTGGTTTTGTTTACATTTTTTATTAAGAAATTTAAATGCGGCGATTTAAACGTGAAAAATAATATTATCGAAATAATAAAATACAGCATTCATTTTGCAACTAAGCAAAATAAAGCTGGTTAATATGAAGACCCGGTTCTCTTAATAAGAAATCACGCATTATTTTATTGTTTAAAATACAATTCAAGCTGTTAATATCCCGGCACAGTGTTGCTTCACATGTAAATTGTTATTTTAGGAGACTTTAATTAAAGATAATGCACTTATTTTGGGAGGTGCAGCACGTCAGAGCCAATCAATGGTTAGAATTAAGGCTCCTGGGTTATAAAAACGAACGTAAAGACGAATTTAATGTTAACAGTTCCGCCAGTCCCATATCTACCGCTGGCAGAGTTATGGTTAAGACTGCGTTAGGTTCGAGTATGTTTCTTACATTTGCACAACATATAACAATGTCCGTGGCAAAACTAACTTAATATTGGACATTTTTAGAAATAACTTATGGCCAAACTCGCTTTAGGAGCATTCTTACAATCATGGGAATGCCAAACCAATAGGGGTCATACACCATCTAGGAGGAATGGAAGGCATTCAGACTCAATTCTAGGAATTGAAGCACAGGTCTAGTGCCTTAATCATTATGGAAGGCGCTAAACTCGTAGGATTATTATTATAATCAAAAAGAAGCGCTAAGCCACAAGGACTATACAGCCCTAAACTCGTAGGAAAAATGGTGCCTAAACCCACTAGGATGATACAGCTCAGGGAAGTAGAGCATAGATCCAATTCCCTGTGATACTCCAATATATTATTATTATTATAATCAAAAAGAAGCGCTAAGCCACAAGGGCTATACAGCGATACTCCAATATAGAAACTATGTATTGTGCCAAAACAAAAGCATTCACATTGCTAAACTCACAAACTAGTATTTGTCACTTAGTATTTAGTCAACTCACTTCACAATTTGTTATAATTTAGGGTTAAGAATTAATCTAAGTTTGCCCGAAATGCCTAGCCTTGCTAGGTGCTCTAGTGGCCCCCCCTCTGTAATTAGTATTTTACTACATGTAAACCACACAATAACCAAAATCTGTAAACCCTGCATTGTAATCCTTATAGAGAATAAACTTTGATTTGATATATCAAGAGCCCCTCACCAGTATCAAGGAAATTTATTTAAGGGGCTAATAGGGACCACATCTCCACAATTACCGTCAATTTAATTTTTTTTTTTAACAGGTTGGCCGTTTCCCACCGAGGCAGGGTGACCCAAAAAGAAAGAAAATCCCCCCCCCCCCAAAATGCTTTCATCATCATTCAACACTTTAACCTCACTCATACATAATCACAGTTTTTGCAGAGGTGCCCAGAACACAACAGTTTAGAAGCATATACATATAAAGATAGAACATAAGAAAGCAGGAACACTGCAGCAGGCCTACTGGCCCATGCGAGGCAGGTCCATGATACACAACATATCCCTCCAAACTGTCAGTATCTCAGACACTTCATTTAAATTGCAGGCATTGTACTTCCCATTTCGAGTACTCAAGTCCGGCTATATAAAAATAACCGTTTTCCCCGAATCCCTTCACTAAATATTACCCTGCTCACACTCCAACAGCTCGTCAGATCCCAAAAATACCATTCGTTTCCATTCACTTCTAACACGCTCACGCATGCTTGCTGGAAGTCCAAGCTCCTCGCCCACAAAACCTTTACCCCCTCCCTCCAACTTTTTCGAAGACTACCCCTACCCTACCTTCCTTCCCCTACAGATTTATACGCTCTCCATGTCATTCTACTTTGATCCATTCTCTTTAAATGACCAAACCACCTCAACAACCCCTCTTCAGCCCTCTGACCAATACTTTCATTAACTCCACATCTCCTAATTTCCACACTCTGAAATCTCTGCATAATATTTACACCACACATTGCCCTTAGACAGGACATCTCCACCGCCTCCTCGATGCAGCATTTACAGCTGAAGGTTCACACCCATATAAGAGTGTTGGTACCACTATACTTTCATATATTCCCATCTTTGCCTCCATAGATAATGCTTTTTGTCTCCACATATACCTCAATGCACCTCTCACCTTTTTTCCTTCATCAATTCTATGGTTAACCTCATCCTTCGTACATCCATCCGCTGACACATCAACTCCCAAATACGTATCTGAAAACACTCACTTCTTCCAAACTCCTCCTCCCCAATTTGATATCCAATTTTTCTTTATCTAAATCATTTGATACCCTCATCACCTTACTCTTTTCTATGTTCACTTTCAACTTTCTACCTTTACACGCTCTCCCAAACTCGTCCACTAACCTTAGCAACTTTTCTTTAGAATCTCCCATAAGCACAGTATCATCAGCAAAAAGTAACTGTGTCAATTCCCATTTCGTATTAGATTCCTTATAATTTAATCCAACCCCTCTCCCCAACACCCTAGCATTTACTTCTTTTACAACCCCACCTATAAATATATTAAACAACCATGGTGACATTGCACATTCCTGTCTAATACCCACCTTTACTGGGAAGTAGTCTCCCTCACTTCTACACACCCTAACCTGAGCCTCACTATCCTCATAAAAACTCTTTACAGCATTTAGTAACTTACTACCTATTCCATATACTTGCAACATCTGTCACATTGCTCCCCTATCCACTCTATCATATGCCTTTTCTAAATCCATAAATGCAATGAAAACTTCCCTACCTTTATCTAAATACTGTTTACATATATGCTTCAATGTAAACACTTGATCTACACATCCCCTACCCACTGTAAAAGTTGAAAGTAAACTTAGAAAAGAGTAAGGTGATGAGGGTATCAAATGATTTAGATAAAGAAAAACTGGATATCAAATTGGGGAGGAGGAGTATGGAAGAAGTGAATGTTTTCAGATACTTGGGAGTTGACGTGTTGGTGGATGGATTTATGAAGGATGAGGTTAATCATAGAATTGATGAGGGAAAAAAGGTGAGCGGTGCGTTGAGGTATATGTGGAGACAAAAAAACATTATCTATGGAGGCAAAGAAGGGAATGTATGAAAGTAGTATAGTGTAGTACCAACACTCTTATATGGGTGTGAAGCTTGGGTTGTGAATGCAGCAGCGAGGAGGCGGTTGGAGGCAGTGGAGATGTCCTGTCTAAGGGCAATGTGTGGTGTAAATATTATGCAGAAAATTCAAAGTGTGGAAATTAGGAGAAGGTGTGGAGTTAATAAAAGTATTAGTCAGAGGGCTGAAGAGGGGTTGTTGAGGTGGTTTGGTCATTTAGAGAGAGTGGATCAAAGTAGAATGACATGGAGAGTTTATAAATCTGTAGGGGAAGGAAGGCAGGGTAGGGGTCATCCTTGAAAAGATTGGAAGGAAGGGGTAAGGGAGGTTTTGTGGGCGAGGGGCTTGGACTTCCAGCAGGCATGCATGAGCGTGTTTGATAGGAGTGAATGGAGAGGAATGGTATTTGGGGCCTGACAATCTATTGGAGTGTGAACAGGGTAATATTTAGTGAAGAAATTCAGGGAATCCGGTTATTTTTATATAGCCGGACTCGAGTCCTGGAAATGGGAAGTACAATGCCTGCACTCTAAAGGAGGGATTAGGGATATTAGCGGTTTGGAAGGATATGTTGTGTATTTTTATACGTATATGTTTCTAAACTGTGGTGTTCTGAGCACCTCTGCAAAAACAGTGATTATGTGTGAGTGAGGTGAAAGTGTTGAATGATGATTAAAGTATTTTCTTTTTGGGGATTTTCTTTCTTTTTGGGTCACTCTGCCTCGGTGGGAGACGGCCGACTTGTTAAAAAAAAAAAAAAAAAATTAGACAAAGCAGTCTGTGAAAGTACATGTCTGATTCTTTAGTTCAATAGCCTATCACCAGCATTGAGGATTATTATAATCTAAACTGTGATAAACCCACCAAGATCATACAGCACTGTACCCAGCATTGAGGAACCTCCCTTGAAGGGTCATCCCAAATGGAAATAAGTCACTGACCTTTTTGGGTTATCCTAGGTTCTCGACACATACACTGCTATGTGTGATAATCTATGAAACTATTTGTGTATACCTGACTAAACTTACTAGTCCTTGCTGAAGGACCTCACACAGTTAAAAATAAAAAGTGCTAAACCCAAAAGGGTCATTGAATGCTGCTCAAATAGGGTTAGCAAGTAACATAAATAGCATAAGGTATTCACCTCACTGCACCCTTCTCAGTAAATTGAACTCTTGTGGGAGGGTGTTACCCCTCAGTATATTCATGAAGAAGCATCAAGTTACAATGGTAATCAGGTTTGATCCAAGGAATCATCATATCAAATTAAACATTAAACCCAAGAGGGTCATACAGAACTGTAGGGATGTGGGAAATGCAAAATGTGCAAAGGTGATGAGAAAGTCAAGTGCAGAAGTATGGCAAGGGCACGGGATAGAAGGGGTAGGGAAGAGTGAGAGAAATATCACAGTTGGTGCAATAAGTTACCTATATTCTTTTTAAAAGTGTCAGAAGTGGAGTTTGTATGTTGGGGCAGCAGAGATGACTAATTCTGCAGGCTTCCAAGGAAGTATAGGGTAGCTCCAATTCCTTGAATCAGGAACTAGTAAGTGATTGGCTATGTTGCGAGGCTCAGGACAATTCATAACACATCAGGAACCTTAAATTATTATAATTATGGGGGAGTGCTAAACCCGTAGGATTATACAGCACATGGGGGGGGGGGGGTAAAGGTATTCAGGCTCAATTCAGGGAACCGGAGCATATGTCCAATTC